AGCCAATTCTCTCAGGACTCTGGGATGCAACTGATCAGGTCCCATAGACTTGTGTATGTTCAGGTTCCTCAGGTGGTCGCGAACCTGATCATCTTCTACAGTGGGAGGGATTTTGCTCCCCCCAGCTCCCATCATGGGGTCTGTTCACTTGAGAGGTGTTGGATGAGAGCTTGCCAGTGAAGACTGAGGCAAAAAAGCTGCTAAGCACTTCAGCTTTTTCCTTGTCTGTTACTACCAGCTCCCCTGCCCTGCTCATGAGAGGAGGTATATTTCCAAGTGAAAATAACAGAAGCGAGGTATAGAATATGCATGCTTCCCCTATGTGGTACGAAACTTTTATGTTTAAGTAGAGGAAAATTTTCTATGCATATTTTAAGACTCAGCACAGGCCTTTCAGAGCTTTTATTCAGTGCAACTTCTGTGCGTATAGAGAACCAAGTCTGAATTCATCTGTATATTTGGCTTATTTTGAGGGCTGGTTGTTGTGATTCCTTTTTTGCCAAGGATGACAGTGCTTTAAGCAGCTGACATTGTTCAGTTTACTGTGCAACCTTCTGTGTAACTGGCATCCTTTCTTGCAAAATTTTCAGTGCCACTCTGCAAAAAGGGCAAGTAATGGTGGCTGCCACTGCTGCTGCTTCCTCTTACTGTTAATGCTTGATACAGGTACTATGGGCATTTCACTGCAAATTAAAAAGGCTAGGGCTTTCCTTCACTTGATTAAAAGGATTTCTACATTTTTCATACGTGTGTTATAATTCCTGGTTGAGTCTTACAAATTATAAATTTAACACGCAGAAGTGTTGCTACTGTAGAATCTTTAACTTATCCTGATGCCTTCAAATGTGCAGTTATTCAGTTATATGACATAGCGCCTTTCAGAACAGAATATTGTTATGAAGATGAATGGAATATAAAACCTAAATTTTAACTCTGTGTTGTGAATTTTGGTCAGTGGATTTATTTGGAGTGTATGTATAAGTGCACAAAGAGGATAGGCAGCATTGTGTATGTGTGGTGTTCACTTAGTATAAGCATTTTGTAGAGCATAATTATGAAGTGGATTAAGCAGATTAATTTGAAGTATTTCCACCTTAACTGAGAAAAACATACCAAAGAGAACCATTTCTATTCATCCAGTGATTCTGACTCTGAAGATGATGAACCCAGGAGGTTCCATGTAGAAATAAAACCTGTCCAGCCAAATAATAGCTCTCAATATACCATGCCTTCCTTGGATGAATTAAAAGTATCTATAGGGAACATCACTCTTTCTCCAGCAATATCTGTAAGTTATTTTGCTCCTTGTATTTTTAATCCGTAGAAGAGAAAAGTAGTGAAGAATCTTTAGTGTAAACGTATTTACTGTTAAACATTTTACTGTTCAGAATTTATTCTAGGTTCAAGTTCAATGGTCCTGTTTTTCTTGTGCACTAGGTCATCTTTGGCACACTTTATTGCAGTGTAACATTAAGAAGTTCTCCCTTTTCAGATTTTAACTTTCCTTTGAGTCTTGGGAGTGCTCAGTCCTTGTCTTTCTGCCATTGCCACCACAAGACATTTGAATACATTGTGGAGTTAGCTGAGCCTGGCTTTTAACATAGTTTACGAATTAGTATTGGATAATATACAAATCTTTAAAACAGATCATATAATATGGATACATGTAACGTTTACGGTGCAGCTTTACTGATGTATTCTGTCAATCCACAGAATGGTCCTTTAGACCATGAGATGATATTACAAATAAATCGTATTAAAGTATGCTTGTACAATATTCAGATCAGAATAAGAATGGCTCTGATTTTAAGGAAAATATTGTGCGTAGCATATTAAAATAACAATAATTTTTCTCTTTTTTCCCACCACATTTTGAAAGCAGAGACACAGTCCTGTAAGTACCGAATGGCTTTTTATTCACATTTTTAGATTAAAACCAAGTAAGTGTAGGGGAGTTATTGGGAAAGCCTTAGGAATGTTTCTTTTCATATGTACCATGTGATATATAAGCTGTTTAATTTTACTGCCCTAGCCTGTAAAGGGATTTAGTAATACTGCTCCCTTTGTCAACTCTACAGTGTTCGTTCCTGCCTTTTCCTGCTGGTGTCACAGGTGTGCACTGATTGCTCTGTCCTGGTTCATGTTCTGGTATTCTGCAAGCTCAGAATTTTTCACCAGGCATTGAAAGCAAAGTATTTCATAGAAAGTTGAGCGGAAATAAGAAGCTTGGGACTATTAAGCATTTTATTTGACAGTTGGTAAAAGAATTTATTCCTAGGTTGTTTATTTTTTTTTCTGTTGCAGGCACAAATGAATCAAAATTCATCCAGTAAGTATGAAACTTTAACTCTTAGTCTATTTATGTTAGTTTTTTAACATAGCATGAAAATAGATTATTTTTTTTTAATTATTGAAGAAATAAACTTCGTAAGTATCTATTTTAAATAGAAAAAATATTTATTTTGTCAGTTAAAGATACCTCTTCTTTTTCTATATACTCAACTGTTCCCAGTTCTGGAAAACAGCTGAGGCTCTCTGTGACAGTGATGAGAAATACATCCAAGAGGCTAAAGGGGGAACTCCGTGGAAAAGACTCCTATGCACATTTTTAAAACCCTTCTACTTACTCAAGTTTAGCATGATCCACAAACCAGCAAAGCCTACTCTCTATGTTTTATAGTCAAACACGTAAAATGTAGCCATGGAGATAGAGGACAGAGCATTAGTCTCTATCCTGTAGGGTTTTTGTTCTCAGTGGGAAACCAAGACAGATTTGCTGAAGAATAATGCTGATGTAAACAGTATAATTCAAGGAAGAAATTTCAAGTGAATAACATTTCATCCCAAAATGCATTGTTCTGTATAGTCCTCTCCTAGTAGAAGGTATTTCAGGAGTATCTGAATTTATATTATCAGAAATAACGCATTTTCTCTTTTCCATTTTAATAATTCATAATTAGTTTCAAACTGCTACCATTAATATTTACTATCCTTTTATAATGAAGCTGAGATTTTTATTTTAGATTTTCACAATTTTGGTGATAGTACTGTGTCTTTTGCTTAGGTGAAGAGGTAACAAAATCAAAGCTTTCTGCTCCAACTAATGAGTAAGTTGAAATTTAAAATTCTATCAAATGTAGTTTTGTGGAAATTTAGTCTTATTTTGATCTAATACTCAGAAACTCATTGGAAATATCAGCTGACTGCTATTTTAAGTCAGGCATCTATTGCATCATAAGAGTTAAGGAGTAATTATGTAAGAATGGAGATTTCTATTCATTTGTTTTCCCCTTCTAATGCATTTGTTTCATTATGGTCTGTCTCAATTGGTATTTATAATTACATAATACTGGTTTTTATTAAAATCTCAGGTTTTAAACAAAACAGGTTTAGTTGCTATCCTATAGTGTTCCATGATAAAGTGTTTAAGATCATAAGCCCCAAATTTGGACAGGTCTGTATATATTGCTTATATATGTATATACTGAAATAAATGGATTTGAAAATATATGTCTTCTTGAAAATGACAGTCATTTAACTGACATTGTGAAGTACATCCACACACAAACTTGCACCAAGATGTCAGTTAAGATAGTCTCCTATGTGTAAATCAGTTTCTTGACCTGCAATTTGTAACTACTTTTTGTTTTTAGATGCAAAGACTGATAAATAAATTTGATAAATTCTTTATCATATTTATCATATTATTGTATTTATTGTATTATCAAACTACAACCAAAGTTGTAGTTTGATTTTTATGAGTATATACATCTTTCATTTATATTCCAATTGTAACTCTTAATATAGAAAGGGGAACAATGACCTCCTGGCATGGGATCCACTCTTCAGCAGTTCTCTTGAATCTTCCTCTTCAGCTTCCTTGGCATCCTCATCATCCTCAGGTAAAACACTTGACAGTAGAAAATGTTTGCTCCATATGCTTCAGGATGTTCTGTTGTTGCTTTTTTAGTTATTGCAAGGGGACATGCTTTCGCTATTGAAATACAAGAGTTTTGTAAAGCAGTGTACTATCATAAAAGTAATACACAAACTAAGACTGCGGTGTATCAGGCTTTCAAGCTAGGAAGCAAGGGGGAAGAGGGAACACTAGGAACCTTAGAAAAAAATCTATCTTCCTTCTGCCTCATTTTTTATCACCTTCTCTCCCCTTCCAAAAAAATTATCACCATCCAGAATGTAATCCTATTTTTTCAGCCGGTCAGGCTGGGAGATTAAATTGAGGTTGTCACAGCAACTGAGACAAGCTGAGCTTGCACTGTGAATAGGAATGGGTTTCTTCTTTCCAGGGAAGTCAGTTGAGCTATGTGGTACAAAGGCACCACAAAGCTTTTCTGTGAGGAACTTGTTTCCTGTAGGAAACCATGATTCTGTTAGGAGATGTGCAGGCATAATCCAAGGGGATTAAAAATGACAGGACTAAAACTAGAATTAAGGGGGAGTTCCTGGCACCACCTGAGATCAGGGGTATTGGGAGGAGGAGGGTGGGCTGAGGAGTATGAGGGGGAGGGATGGGGCAGATGTTGCATGGGAATTTTGGGCTGGAGGATTCTGGAGGTTATTAGTGTGGGCATGACACTGGCAGGCTTTCCTGAAACCTGGTCTTTGTGGGGAAAAAAAAAAAAATTCACAAAAATGGTCAGTATTCATTGTTACATTCAAAAGGCAGTAAAGGAGAGGGAGGCAAAATAGCATATGAATGGGTATGTGTGTTGAAGAGGCTGAGAGCAGGAGATGTTGAGAAACTAGTTCAGAAAAAGGAAGGAGGGACCAAAACAAAAGCAGATACTATGGCTATGTTAGGACCTACTTTATTTATGTTAATTATCTTGGAGGATTTAAAGCAGAATCTACTCTTTACTAACTGTAGCAGATATGCTGTTTCCATAGTTCTTTTCAGTCTACCTACTGTGTATCTATTTTCCAACCCCTACTGTCTTAATGTAGAGACTTTTCTCCTCCCACGTCTGAGAAAGGAAATGTTCACTGTTTCTTTTAGCTATGGATTCATATTCCAAAAATTACAATAGACTTCACTTCTTTTTCCACAATCGTGTCTTTCCAGCTGTTTTGCTCTGTGCTTGATCATACAGACTGAAGAACGATAAGGAAGAGTACATCTGTCAATAGGGGAATTCTACACAACTAGTGTTAGTTCTTCTTGGCTTTAGTAATGTCCTTTCAGCAGTGACCAGCGTTGCTGTGTTTTGCTTCAGGTTTTGAAGTGGAACTTACTCTTTCACTACAAATTTGTATTCCTTAAAAGTCACAGCTTTTAACGAATTTAGCTTATGGAAATCATTAGATTTTCTCTTCTTCACTTAGGTAAGCAGTGAAGATTATTGTCTAGTGGATGCAAATTTGTAACACATTTAAGAATAAATTACATATAGCTATATATTACTTGAATATGCTGAAAAGAAGTGGTACTTTCTCAAAATAGTCTGTTTTGCTAGCTTTGGTCTGGTGTTGGTGTCTGTAGAGTAGGGCAGAAAATACTTAATTTGTTGTCCTGGTGGTTGTTACTGTTTCTTGCTATGCCTCAATGAGAAGTCAAAGGAGGTTAGGAAACACTTATACAGTCACTCCTGGCAGCAAAACTGTGGAGAAAGTAGTCTCTGGATGAGGAGTAGTGACAGGTAATTGGGATCCATAACATCCTCTGTAGACATGTCTGCGAGGGGAAGTCATCTACCTGAGCGCTCATACCTGAAAGAGGCTTATGCACACAACCCTACATTTCATTGAAATTGGTGGAATATAGTGTCCTGTGGGTGTAAGTTGATTTAAGATACAAGACACCTGTGCCTTGGCAAACTTTATATGCTAAATAATTATTTAAACTGTTGTTGTTCTAGGAGTTAACTAAGTTATTTACACTTGCGAAATGATCCTTGGAATTAAGTAGAAAGTGAGTGTTTTGAAGTATGAAAAAGTACTAATACATTTGGGGAAAAAAATACTGATTCAAAGTTAGGTCATATTGTTGTTTGAATCAAGTTCTGATGCTCACCAACTGCAGCTTAGTTCTAGACTTTAAAAAAAGAATAACTTTGATCTGATTGTGTTTTCCTTGAAAACAGTGTTTTATCTTCAACTTGAAGGTTAGTATAGGTAAGCTGATGCTTAAAGCTTTTGAAAATCTCAATCCAAAATTTAAATTACCTAAATCAGTTGTTTTGTGTACAGCATATCTGCATATCATGTTGTAGCATGTCCCACAGATTACTTTTTACTGTTAAAAGATTTCTTTAGGTATTGTTTCGTAATGCTGTGTTAATCATTGAACACTTAAACTACCATGGTATTTGAGCAGACAGTGGTTTGTGCAGCACAGAAGTAAACTTTGGTCATCCATGAATAATTCTGCTTTACTAGAAGTTTAAGCTAATTTTGTTATCTTGAACAAACACAGCAGATGTTTTTCAGCCAGCTGTTGATGTTGTAAAAATGCTCCTTTTTATTTATCTTCCTCATTTTCATCCATACGTATTTTTAAAATAGTTTTGCACATTTCCACAGTGCTTTATAGTAGTATTTTAAAGCCTTTGAATGATACTTAAGATATCTGTTAGAAAGGGAAAACCATGTTAAAACCCTGGTTATGTGTGCTTAGAGAATGTACTTGTTCATGGCCAAAGGTCCACTGTAGAGAGGAAACCTATACTTTTTATGTGAACTTTTAAACCTGTTGCTCTCTTTTTTTATTCTGTATGTCACTCTGCTGTTGCTCCTAGCTTTGCCAATCAGCAAGATGTTGAGAATTGACTAACCTTGCATTTTCTGCTTCTGTTGTCATCTACTGCAACAGGCAATAGCCAAGTGCAGGGAATACTTGTGGAAAATTCCTGTTTTCCAGCAGCCTGAAGACTACAGGATGAGGGAGGAAATAAACTGAGGTGGATGATGCCTCATACATATAGTTACTCACTAGATACAGGTAGATACAGACAGAAGAATATCAAACAGGAACTCATGACTGCATTGTCTTCATTCATTCACCAGAGAGCCATTTATGTTGGGCCTTCCCATTACAAATGTTAAGGGTAAGAGGATAAAAATGTTTGGAAGGAACAGGATAGGATAGGTTTGATTAAATAACTTTCAAAGAAATGAAAAGCAGAAAGCTATGAAGAGGAAACAAAAATGGAGTAGGACACAAGAAGGAAAAGACAAAGATAAGGAAGTTAAATGATGACAAGGAGGAAGTTAAACCACGACAGGGAGGAAGTTAGAGGAATAAGGAAAATCATGAGAAGTAGGGCCTTAAGTGGAGAGAAACGCAATGAATTACTTTTTGGCTTGCTTAAAAAATGGAAAGTGACGTGGTTGGCAGTATGAATGAAGTACATATGATATGTGGCTGGAGTTTTTTTCTTTTATTTGTAAATGGTGGGAATTTTAACCTAGTACAGCAGTTGTTTTTCATGCTGGCTAGTAATCCTTATGCAGTGGATATGAATACTTTTTTGATTATTGAAACTTTTATCTTTTCAGTGTTGATCCTAGTTTCAATTCTTCCCTTTTCCTTCAGCTACACTAAAAGAGCACAATAGGAGCTCCTCCTCATCTACCACTGATTTGCATGGGTGTAGAGTATCTCAGTCCTTGCTTGGACACCAGACAGATTCTGGGTCTACAAGCCCGTCCTCACCAGACTTCACTATTAGCACTTCGTGCAAATCTGGTGTTGCAGCAGCGCCATCAGGGAGTACCAGTACTTTATCCTGTGTTTCACAGTCACAGAGGCAGTGGATTTCCTTTGCTGATGAACTTGTTACACTTAGACATGCAAGCGCAGACAAGAAGGAGCCCCAAAGATTGCATTTTAAAACTGAAAATGCCTGCCTTGCCTCTTCTGCTTTGCTTGAGAATTCTTCCAGCAGCTGTGCTTCTGAGGATCAAAGTGACCTTTTCGATAATACTATATCCCATGAACAATTATTCATTGAAGAAACCGGCACTGTTGCTGAAATTTCTTCCGCATCATCTTCAACACTACTGGACTATAGTTTAGTGTCTTCTTGTGCTCATACAAATAAGGGTATGGCAAGCATGCATTGTGTACTGCTCTTTGCTAATAACTGACTACAAAAAGCAAGCTTTGGACTCATTTTTTGGTTTTGTTATTATCGCTTACCTGATATTAAAATTAACTCATCTTCTTACTTAGAATGTACTAAACTGCTTGTTATCACCAACTTCCTTGAAAGTTAGGACAATGAAGTAAATATTCAGCTTGAAATAAGAAGAAAAATTAAAATTATTCAATTAAGGCATTGCTTTTCCTTAACCATGCAGAGCTTTGCTTTTTCAGAAATAGGAATGTATTTTTGTGGGATATCAGACAGCAGTGAGATCTCAAAGATTAAGTGATTGAATTTGCAAAAAAAATTCCTTTCCTCAATGGCTTTGTGTAGATATTTTCAGATTAAATGAAGTTAAATAAAATGGATTTTAAACTGTTTCTTTTTAACACCCAGTATTTTGAAGCGTGGATGGTATCACAGTAATGCTACATAATAAGAGGGCAAAGGAAAAGTGTATTTGGACAAGTGTGCCATGACTCACTCAATCAATTCCTGTGGTACTGCAGCAGACTGTTCAGTGTTTAGCATGCACTGTTGTCTTGGGGCATAATGAGAAGTTTAAAATAATAACTGATATTTTAGAAGTCAGTGTATCTAGGGACATTTGAGTTTGCAACTCTTAAGGTGGATGTGGTCAGTATTAGCCTAATTTCTTTCTTTCCAAGCCAGTGATGAAACTCCTGAACTTAAATGACAGCAGAGTTATGCTGGATGCCTGAGAAAACTCCATACTTAAAAATTGCATTTTAAATAACATTAACTGATTTAATTAAAAAAGAAACACCCAGAATAATTTGAGGGAGATAATAGGATGTGCTGCAACAACATAGTCATATTTAGCATTTCAGTTTATTTTGAAGTTAATTTTAGATCTGACATACTCATTGAATGGCATTTAACATTTATTATGAAATACAGTTCTATTTGTTTTATTCAGAAAAGTGACTTTGTAAATGCGGCATCTTTGTACTGCTGCCACGATCTGTTAGTTTCTGTTAGGTTTAGAAGGACATGGGTGCAGTATTTTTTTAACTGCTTTTTACTTCTGATAGCTCAGCTAAGAGATAATAAGGACTTGGTGTGTTCTTACAACCAACAGAGTAGTTTGTCTGTTAAACTGGTGTATACTTACTGAAGTCAATGCGATTTCAGTGGGCAAAATTTGGTGTAAACAGAGTTATGCCATTGTCAGCCAGGAGCAAATAATGAATTTCCACTGAATTTTTAATTTGTGGTGAGACATGAGAGTGTCCTATATTCTGAATCCATATAGATTATACACAAAATGAAATTTGTGTAAAACCATCTTTTTACATACAAATCTCTAAGAATAGTTGGTGTAAAATCATTTGAGAGCAATGAGAAAGCCCATGATGCCATTTTTAGAGTCACTTTTCAGGGTATCACATGGCCCTATTTTAAAAGCATTTATGATTCGTGGTAAATCTTACAAAATGGAGCTTGTAAAATAGGAATTTCTAATAGAAACGTAACTTCCAGTTATTCTGTTCAAGGGAGTACGTATTTAAGTTCAGTGTGACTTTTCTAATATTTATTTCCTTAAATTTGCTTTCTTTCAGCAAGACCCACAACTCCTCTTTCTGTAGGCACCATTGTACCCCCTCCAAGGCCAGCTTCAAGACCAAAGCTGTCTACCGGGAAACTTAGTGGGATTAATGAAATAGTATGTATTGATACTTTTTTTAAAAAAAAAAATTCTCCGTTGTAACTTGATTTTAGATACACCATTCATTTACACTGTTACAGTGGAGTTGCTTTCCAGCCAATATTCAAGCAGTCACATAAGCCAATTATCACAATTGCCAGATAGGCGTGGAAGTTGTTCATGATAACTATATTACTATAACAAAATTATTCTGAACAGAACTACAAGGATCCAAAACATAATTTTTGTATCGGCTGAATGTTTTTAGTTGAACAAATCAATAATTTGACAATGAAAGGATAGGACGTGTATGAGACTGAAGTTTTCAAAACATGAAATACTAGTGAAGTTATTAACAAAGCTCCATTGATTTAGGGATAACAACAAAGCTTTGGGGAATTAATGGTATCAAGTAGATCTTTATCAGTCATGTGTTGACACAAGTAGCCCTGCTGTGACTTCTCCCTGACCTTGGTGCTGGTTGGTGGAGAGGGGAGGTGGCAGATTGCAGCAGCTGCCCATCGGGATAGTGAGAGGTTGTACGCTCCCTGCATCTCTGCTCACTGCCTGCAGTGTAGGTCCACCTGCCGATAAGGAATGTGGCAAAGAATGCAAATACCCAGACAGCATATCAACCCAAGCCATGCTTAATCTCCTCTGTGAATATTAGGATTCTTTGGGCTTCATTTGATTTACTGACTTGGAAAAATGTTACCGTGGTAAGATTGTCTTACTGACTTTCAAAATGTTTTCACCGTATTTTTGTTATGGACAAAATTCTGGTCTTACACTTTGTCAAAGCTGAAACACTTTTGAACTGTTCTGCATTTCTGTAAGGTCAGAATAAGGTCAGAATAGGGTTCACTTTGAGATTCTTTTCTCATTCAAATATAAAATTGTAGTAATTGATCTTAGACCAAGGAATCTGTTCTTCATGTCATCGTAATTAAAGAGAAGAATTTAGCTGGTTCTGCTATAAAATATGATTTTGCGCAAAGCTACATTCATTTTGTACTCTTGTTTTAGAAATTGACTATTATCTGGATACAAGTGGAAGACTGTCAGTTGTCTTCATTATATAACAACTCCTTGTACAATTCCCATAATCTGTATAAAAGCCACATACCTAGCATCGTGTCATAGAACCAAAAAAAAACCCAACAGAAAAAGAAAGTTACCCAGCCAAAATAGATGGGTTCCGTGAGAACTACAGGAGTTCCAGTACCTTTTAGATAGGTTAATCACAAAATGATAATTAGTTAGTTTAATACCTTAGCCATTAAGTAAATCATAAAACCATCCAGGGATTTAGAATGGAAGGGACTTTTTAAGATCTCTAGGCCTACCTCCTGCTCATGGAAGGGCCAACTTCAAAATTGCATCAGGTTGCTCAGGGACATGCTGAGTTTTGAAAATCTCCAGAGACAGAGATCTTACAATCTCTTTGGGCAACCTGTCCCAGGGTTTAACTATGAGGTTACAAGAAGAAATTTTTTCCCTAAGTTCAGCTGAAATTTCCTTTGCTGTAGCTCTTGAATCCCTGAGAAGAGGGTGACTCCACCTTCTTTGTACCCTCTTTTAGTTAGTAAAAGACTGCTAGTAGATCCCTCCTTAGGCTTCTGTATTCCAGGATGAACAAGCCCAGGTTTTTGAGCCTGGCGCGCTCTCTCATGTACTCCAGTCCCAACTATTTTAGTTGCCCTCTGCTGGACTCATTTCCAGTTTGTTAGTAGCTCTCCTTTAGCTATGTAAATCCACCTTTGCTGCATACATACACAGGGCTGTAGGCTTAGGTTCTGCTACTGTGTTATGGCACAATTATTGATGGGCTGCTACATAATCAAATATATTAGACTTAACTACCCAGGCAAAAAATTGATAATGATGATCTATGAAATAATGGAATTGATTCCAATGGAAAATGTGGGTTGCCTGTTTTGCACTAAAAACTAGGGTAGATAAAGCATTAAAGGAACTATGTTGAGAAACACTATGAAATTGATTGGGGCATGAAATTAAGAACTCTTCTTTTTACAGTCTTTTTTTCATCTCTTTAAAACCACTTTGTGTAATAGTCTTGTAATCTCTTTTGTTCAGCCTAGACCATTCAGCCCTCCATTGACCTCTAACTCAAGTCCACCTCCTGCAGCTCCGTTGGCACGTGCAGAGAGCATTTCCTCAATATCCTCTTCTGCTTCCCTCAGTGCAGCAAACACACCTACAGTTGGTAAGTTAAATCAACCATTTTAACTTATTTTAGAAATAGCATAATTCTGCCACTAGAAAAAAAAAACATTTGTTGGAGTTAGTTGTTCCATATGTGTGTCAGTCTAGGTGCTTGAAACATCCTTTGCAATACCTGCTTCTAAATGACACTGAGAGACAGGACAGTGGATTTGATTAGACCATAGATCCAATCATGACATGTTCTTTAGGGAAATACTGTTCAAAAGTAATACTCCATTAATTCTGATTTGGTATGCTTGTATATCCATTCATCAAGCACAACATATTATCATGTATTTGTTCAGAAGATGTTACTGGTAAAGGTGCAGAAATATTTTGGGATACTGATAAATTTGAATGAATACAAATTTTCATAAAATTGAGTTCTTTTATGTTCTTTTTGTTTTGTTTGTTATCCTGTAATTGCAGTTTCCAAAAAAATGAAACTAATGCATCTTTTTCTTCAAGTTAGTGAAGTATGTAAGCACAACAGAGGTGTTCAGTAAAAGCGAAACAACCAAAATAAAAGATGATGAAAAGCCAGTTAGTCTTCATGTGTTGCCACAAGTTTTTCCTGATATTTTTAAAGGAAAGTCCTTCAGTTTTGATATATGGTTATAACAAATGAAAAGGAGACTTATTAGGGGTGGCGTTTTGGAGTTTTTTTTAAAGCCATTTTAACTTGTTTCTTTAGCAGAATTGAAGCATTTCATTCCTGAACACTATTACCGCTTTATTCCCAGGTTAAATCAGATTCTTGAGTTACACTCAGTTATCTGTGAATGTTACTGATGCCAGGGATTCCTTGCCCAGGCTCAGGAGCTCAGGAGACCATCTGCACAGCTTCTGGTGGGAGTTCTCCACTGAAAGCAGTGCCACTGTTTCCACCCTGTGCAGGATCAAAGCTAGTAAGGTCTGCTCAGCCTTAGCTGCTACAGTTCAGTGTCCACCAGTTTCCCAAATGTTGAGAAGCATCACAGAAAGATAACTGATGTTTTGGTTGCCAGAGTCCATCCAGGCTCACATCAGGCCTCAGCACTAGTGCCAAGGAACCAAAAGCTGGTGGCAACAGCATCAGTAGCCCCAGCTCTGAGTGTGTGTGGTGTTGGAGACAGTGAGAGAGTGAAATCGTGACATCAGGGAGGAGGTAAGGAGGTGTGCACTGACACCGAGGTTTGACATGGTTATTAACCTGGCCTAGCAAAAATAAACAAGGATAGTTCCATCTGACTGACTGTATGAATTACATAGTCCTGGAGAGCCAGGAAGGACAGTGCAGATGGCTGAATGACTTTGGGGCACGAGGATGTACTCTACACTACTGTCTGCGGTGTTCTGACTTCTGCACAATCCAGTGTTTCCCCTACCCCATTTGTTCTGAATAATGGGGAGTTGACTCTTAATTATCTTTTTCCAAGCAAACTTTAAGGCATGCATAATTGAATGTTTCTTTTATGCTTTAGCCTTATTTTAATTTGCAAAGTATTTATATATATATATTAATTTTTTTAACATCTATTTTTGCTTGAAATATTTTGTTTTCTTGCAATGTTTTGTTTCATTTAAACATAATAGAGGATGATCTTTTGATTGGAAATCTTCCTACAATTGAAAAGCTTTGTGAGACACCACCAGGTACTGTACTCAAAGCATATTTACATGTTAACTAATCATCCTAATACACTACACCTAATAAAATTGTATTTCTTTTGAAAAAAGTTTCTCCAGCTATTTCTGGTATGTGGCAGATACAAGTAGCTTGAAAGCTCAATGACTTAAACAAGTTATATGTTGCTGAAATCACCAATTGATATACCTGCTTTTAAATAACATAATCTTCTGTCTATCCGCCCCCACATCCCCCACCCCAAACAAGCTGAAACTTGGTCTTGCTTCTTCAGTTTGTCATTACAACTTTCTTTCAAGTAAAGTGAATAGATTTTTACTTTGACAATCTTTATTCTCAGAAGACAAGTAGGTAAAAATGTTTCTATATTTACATATAATACAATATTAAACATGATCTTTTTAAAAAATAAATTTTATTTTCATGACAGCCATTTAGCCAATATTAAAATTATCTGAGTCTTTGATCCTAAGCTGAACTAAACCCATTTGATCAGGTTTATTTGCCTTTTTTATGACCAGTGATGCAGTCTTTTATGCTGCAGTTTGGCAAACTCCTTGAGTGTGTCAGTGCAACTGTTCGCACAGGTGTGTCCCTAGCTCTTGTGTCAGCACAGCTCAGGGGCTGTTAAATGGTGGTTGGGGCTGAGGCAGGTGACAAGCATCAAAGCCAGTTTTGCTTTCACTGTCAAAGCTGCTAAACTGGAGCCTTGAGCTGGGCTGCAGCCTGAGATGCAGCAAGGCTGCCTTGGCACAGCTCGGTGACATCCGATCTCTCCAGGAGCTCACAGCAGGCATGGAAGGCCCTGAAGCTGGATATCACTAGTATTTTCAGCAGCAAGGCAAGATGACTTCCAGAGTTAGGCTGAGCAGTTACGTTTGTTTCAATTTGTTGGTTTTTAGGAGAACGTATAGATTTTTAGAAATCAAAGGGTGACAAACAGTGGGGGCAGAGCAAATAAGAGAGAAGCTCTCTCTCTCATTTGTAGTCCCGCAAATACATCTCAGAGAAATATATATACATATATATATTTGCTTTGGTGTTCCCAAAAAACAGTAGAAGTAGTGCTATTATTCCTAATAAATCGCACTCTTCTGTCAAGAAATCAGTTTTTGTCTTTTACTATTAGGAATATCATTTATATATTTCCATTACTCTGCCTGATTTTCAAATATCAATATAAAAATATAAGCAAGGCCATTATAAGTAGAAGATATAAATTTATACATCTATAAAACATCTGACGTAATTAATACAGGGTAATCACCTCCTGTCTGCTCTGCAGTTGTTTGTTGTTCCTTAGTAAATTGGGGGGAAAGACAGTAAAACACCCTGGCAGCTGTAGTGCCACATCCATTGAGTGCATATTTTGGCTTTAGTGGAGAATACTTCTGGAGTTCAGTATTTCACCAAGCAGAATTTCTGGTTGTTGTTAGCTCATTATTTTATTGCACATTTGCTTTGTGAAATCATCATTTCTGGATTCCTGAGACTATTGAGAATCACAGCTTTTATTGGTAGTTTTCAGGGAAAGAAAGAAAACTTTGGAAACATGACCTATGTATTGTCTGAAAGAATAAATAAAATCAACCTACTGTTCATATTGAAAAAATAAATAGGTGTTTTGTAGCCAGCATCATAATATTTCATTCGTCTAAGAATTTTTGGGTTTGAACACTTGTGACTAGAGTACTGTTTTCAGTCTAAGGAGGCCTAAATGTTGCACTTTTTTTTTTTTGTGTGTGGTGCTGAGAAGTATTCTGAACATTTTACTACCTTAGGCAAAAAATCTTGATGGAGAGTGAGCTATGACGTAGCAGAATTAGACCGACTCCTGTCTTTTACTCTTTTGTTACTACTTCTCTCACTTATCTCTGAATTTAAGGTCTAATATGAGATATTTTCTTCTGTAGAGAACAAAGTCCCAACTTACTTTTTGCTTCTGAAAGCACTCAGAAGGCACAGCCACTGTTTTACCGTAAATAGGATTAGTTTGTCATGAGCAATATTATATAGAAGCATTTTCTTTCTACTTGATGGTATGAAAGAAAAAATTCTCATTTTGCTCATGAAACAAGAAAGATTGTGCCTCCTTTGTGATAGAGAAGATTATGTGATACAGGCCATTTCAACAGTGGTACAAAAAATTAGTAAGATGCTCTCCACTATGCTGTTGCACTAATAAAAAGATGGAACTTCCAGTATTGTCTTTTATATTCAGTACACATATAGAAAATTGGTGAAAAGTAAAATCCCGTGACAACTGGTTTTGTCAATTGTATATATATATATTTCAGACAGCCTTAGCATGATGTCTGAATTGATTTTTATAGCTAGGCATTGGAACTGTGTTGTGTTGGCACAGGTATCTGTGAAGGCTTTTCCAACAATGTCCGCTTGGGAATTATAATCTTTGTTGGCTGAAATAGTTAAAAGAATGTTCAACAGTTCACTTATGTAGAGTAATATTAATGTATTTGCATTGAAATTTGTGCATACAGTAAGTGAATTCTTTGCATTTCTGTGACCATTTTATCATACATTTTTCCATATAATAAGCATACAGTAGGGATTTTTTTTAAGTATTCTTTTAAGTCAATGTCTGATTTCCTTTGGATCTGTTGACTTGACTTTCATCAGTAGCCATTTTAATGCAGTGTTCCTCTGACTCATATGTATTTCCTTGTGTCTGTCCATTTACATAATGTCATACTGATAGTCCTGTTTTCATAGGCTGGTAAGTTTGATGGTACGATTGTACTGTACTATGTTTTTCTCTTTCTACACACTTTTCAAGTAATACTTCAGACACTACTGTGACCTTGATGGTGGTAGCCTCTTGTGAAGATTACAGATGTAGTCAACCGTTCCAAAATCTGTTGCTAAGCTTTTTGAAAATTAAACCTATACACTGTATGTATTCTAGGTGTTTCTCGTGGTCCCAGCCCTGTCAGCCTTGGAAACCAGGACACCTTGCCTGTTGCAGTAGCCCTTACTGAATCTGTTAACGCCTACTTTAAAGGAGCAGATCCCACAAAGTTAGTTAAATAGTGAATTGTTTTGAATGTAATAAGTTACAGCAAGAAAACACACTGTGATTTTACTTTTAATATTTTTGGGGGGAATGTGTATACATTAGAAGGGGGATACAAACGCGGTGGCGGGGGGGTCCCTGGTATAAGTGACAACAGTGGCTTATTTCTCTGTACTGGCCTGCATCCCACTAGGAGTTCATATATCCCTGCTTTACAAAAATGTGTTCAGTGAGAACACTGAAAATGAGAAGGGTTTTTATCATAGTCAGGTAGGTGCTACATGTAACTTTGGGCAGCTAAATACACTTCATTCCCTCTGTCATATCCCTTGCTATGCTACTTAGGCCTTGCCTAAGCATAGTAGTGCCATGTTTTCAAAGCCTGAAAAATATCCACCAAGACTACTGTATGCTTAACCAGCTAAACTTTTTTCTTTACTTATTTCATCTGAATTCCAAGTTGAAAGTGACAATACATTGTCACATTACCCTCATTTGAAATCAATTTTCTGGTTTTAATTCAGTTCATCAGATTGTAAAAGTACAGTGATTGCTTTAAAATTAGTATTAAAACTAGGCAGTTAATGAGTTGCAATGAAACTGATGTTTTCATTCTCTTCTAGATGTATTGTGAAGATTACTGGTGATATGACAGTATCATTCCCAAGTGGAATTATTAAAGTCTTCACCAGCAACCCATCTCCAGCTGTGCTCTGCTTCAGGGTGAAAAACACAAGCAAACTAGAGCAGATTCTTCCAAATGCACAACTTGTATACAGGTTTTGTATTTTTCTAAATATAGTAGTAAACGACATGAACTGTAAAATTTGAGTTGTATATGTAAATCAGAATTCTCTACAGTCTTGTTGATTTGCTTGTACATAACTTAATTTCCTGAATTAATCTTGTTCAACTCAGTTCACTGCCACCACTAAAAATCTCAGTGATTACTGGTTTTGAAACTTGTGCTGAGTATAAAAGGAGGCATAAAAAACGTTTGTAAATGTAGCTGTGTTTTTACATGCATTTTTATAAATTATTTCTTTATACAGTAGTAACAATGGTAAGATTAAATGATGAAACAGTCGCTTTAATGAAAAACAAGTAGGAGCGATACCTAATCTCATTTGTCACTTACTAGTGTATTTTTAAGCTGTATCATTTCTACAGTAGATCAGATCTGTTACATGACTGTATCTGTCAGGTGTGTAGCAGCATGCTTGGGAGAATTCTTAAGAAAAAAGGCTACTGATTGAGTAGGCTAATTGTTGAAATTACGCAATTGGAGATCTTCTAAAAAAATTATAAAAGCTGTAATTATTTAGCAGAGATCTGTTTCAACTGAGCAGTTTCTATTTCATTTGTTGCAGAAATTATTTGAAAACTAGTTAAATGCTTTTAGATGCTACATTTTTTAAATTACGGAAATAAAGAAAGAATCAAACCATATGCATCCATTCTTTTGTATTTAATTTCATTTTGATCATTTAATGTAATGAATGATTCGTACAAAATTAAATTTAATCACTTTTTGGCATGACAGTTTATAACTGAAATGTTAGCAGAGCTGTATCTGAGTGAATTATACCAAAAAAGTGTATTTTGCAAAAAAAGTGAAAACATCTAGTATTCTTGTCTGAGCGCTGTAACACTTCGCCTCTAATTAGAAAGGATGTGTGTCATGGATATTTATGAAGTTAGGCCTATATAGTAATAATTTGACTTTTGTCATATACTGCAAAGGGTATAATTTGCTTAGTATTTATAGAGACTAAAGTTTTTAATGAGAGTGATATTTGTGGTGATGTCAGAATTTCTGATTTGAATTGCGTTTGGCTGTGGAGCAACAGAAAGATCTTGCTACTGGTTTCATTTATTCAAATTGTGGAAGGCCTCTGTAGTGATAACTGTTTATGTATAATTTTACTGGAAATCGCATGAATCACAACAGTGTACTTAGAACCAAATTCTAAGTAAATTGGACAGACTACTGGTACATAAGTCATTGTTCTAGGACATTCAACCCATTGTGGTCATATTTACTGTGTTCCAGGTGCTGATTGTCAGCTTTCACTCTGCAGGCACACTTATGCACACATCCTCCTTAGGGATGGATGCAGTTCCTCATTGTATCCATAGACATTCAGAGGAGGTCTTTTGAATCTTAGGTGATTTGAAATTTGGTTTTGAAACAATTTTCTTAAAAGCTTCATCCTTATTCAAAATAAACCTGATGCAACCAGAGCTGAAAATATTCTTGATCTGCAGAACACCGTGCTACAGTAGCTCCCAAACAGGATATTGCTTCTGCAGTTCATGTGTGCTCTTACATACACATAGAAGTGATACAAGAAATTGTTACTAAGATTGAATGCAATTATAAGTATCTGAGAAACAGTTGTTTATAATAATTTGAAATCACTTTTAATTGAAAAATTTTTGAAAGCTTACACTCTCCACAGATATATGAAAGTATGGTAACACATACAGCACAAATCTTAATTCAGTCCATCAGTGAATGTGTGTCATAACCCAAGCTAATTACGATTTTAGAATTTATTCCAAATTGGATAATACTCCTTTTCAAATACCACTTTCATCCCCATCTCCCACACATCTTCACAGCACGTAATTGTATTAAAGTTGTGTTTTATTAAATGTAAGAACCAAATTCAACATTAACTCCATGTTGTGATGCAGATCATCAGTGGAGGAAACTCACTGCTCCACAACCTGGCAGGAGAATTTTTACCAGATACAACAAGCAGTTAATTTGTCTGAATATTTAGGAAGGTACAATTATGTGTTATAAGCATTAGAACAAATTTTTGCTTGAAACAGGGAAGAAGGGGAAAGATCTAATCTTAATTTTTAGAAATCCAAAATAATAAAACTCAGTGTTGCCTTCTGACTCCTACTTTTTCTTTGTAGTGATCAGTCACAAAGTGACACCAGTACTAAGGATTTTTGGATGAACATGCAAGCTGTAACTGTCTACCTCAAGAAATTATCAGAGCAGAATCCAGCTGCATCCTATTACAATGTGGATGTTTTAAAGTATCAGGTAAACACTTTTTTCCCTTTTGAATTTTTTAAGGAACTGTGGCAGATTTGATATCTACACAGAAATTAAAAGAATTGTTCTTTGCCTGCTAGCATGCAGATGAGCTGTTATCCCTCATCTAGATCAGTTCTAGGTACGTCACTGTTTGCAGTGCATAGGCTCTGCCCAGGCTTAGTGCATTCCCGCTATGCTTCATGTCATTCCATTGGATTCATGACCTGTTTCAGCTTGCTCACACGTCACTCCAATTCATGTGTGCAAGTTTCAAACACTGCTTCTTTAGCTATTTGTTAGCAAAGTCAAATTTTCCTTGCATGTAGGTGGTTTGGTGGGGGGTTGTTTGATTTTGTAGTTGTACTGTCTCTGATTTTGTAATTGTTTAAGTTTTGAATGCTGTAGCTGATGAATTGTAATATATGAGAATGTATGATGTTCTGACCTCTCACAATATAATGGGACATCTCATCCTGGAAACCGTTTAGAGGCACACAAAGGACAAGAAGGTCATCAGGAGTAGTCAGCATGGATTTATGAAGGGGAAGTCATGCTTGGCCAACTTGATAAATTGCTATGATGCAATGACTGCCCTGGAGGAACGGGGGAGAGCAGTGGATATTGTCTGCTTAGGCTTCGGGAAGGCTTTCAACACTGTCTCCCATAGCATCCTCCCAGAGAAGCTGGTGAAATACAGGCTGAATGAGCAGAAACTGAGGTGGACTGAAAACTAGCTGGACAGCCAGGCCCAAAGGGTGATGGTCAGTGGCTTGAAGTCTAGTTGGAGGCCGGTAACTAGCAGTATACCCCAGGGGTCAATATTGAGTTTACTATCCTGTTTAACAGCTTCATTAACGATCTGGATGGTGGGGCAGAGTGTGCCCTCAGCAAGTTTGGTGATGATACCAAACTGAGAGGACTCTCTGGATACACCAAGTAGACTAGACTAGAGATGCAGCAGGGCAGTAGCACAAGCTTAGCTAGAGACACAGCCTCTGACCTTCCTGCAGCAGGAAAATAATGCTTTGAATAGGTAAGAACTGTTTTTGCTGGCTGCTGTCCCATAATGACAGGTGTTGCCCGCTGCTTGGGCAACTGAATAGGTATGGCACACAACTGCTGAGAATGAAGTCATTTTGCCACAGCATGCTTATTGTGTGAGGCAGAACACAAGACTAAAACACAACTATTTTCATCACAGAATCATGGAATGGTTTGGTTGGAAGGGACCTTAAAGATCGTCTAGTTCCAACCCCCCTGCCATTGGCAGGAACACCTTCCACCAGACCAGGTTGCTCAAAGCCCCATCCAACCTGGCCTTGAACACTCCCAGGGATGGGGCATCCACAACTCTGGGCAACCTGTTCCAGTGCCTCACCACCCTCACAGTGAAGAATGTCCTCTTAATACCTAATCTAAATCTTCCCTCTTTCAGCTTAAAGCCATTGCCCCTTGTCCAACCCATGTCCTTGTAAAAAGTCCCTCCCCAGCTTTCTTGTAGGCCCCTTTGGGTACTGGAAGGCTGCTGTAAGGTCTCCCCAGAGCCTTTTCTTCAGGTTGAAGAACGCCAACTCTCTCCGCCTATCTTCATAGCAGAGGTGCTCTGATCATCTTCTTTTCACTTATAAAAGCCAGAACAGGAAGAAGCCTCATGTGCCGGAGAGAGTTTAAACCTTTCTTTAATTATTTTAATTTAAAATTAAAAGAACAGGAATTACTTTAAGCTGTGATAGTCTTCAGAATTCTGCAGTTAAGGACTCGTAGGTCAATTGTTCTCTTGATCTTTTGTCAGGATTTAGAGTTATATTCATTACCAACATTCCCTAATTCTTCCCATAAGGGCAGTATTTTAATTAAGTTGTTTTCAATGGTTTATTCTTTTACAGGTATCTTCAAATGGCATCCAGTCCACTCCCTTGAATCTTGCAACTTACTGGAAATGTAATGCTAGCACTACTGATGTGAGAGTGGATTATAAATACAATCCAGAGTCTATGAATGTGCCTAGTATGCTGTCTAATGTCCAGGTTGTGGTACCAGTAGATGGAGGAGTAATGAACATGCAGTCGCTCCCACCTGCAAAATGGTAATATTAATACTTTTCTTTTTGTTATTTGAGATTCACTTCAGTGTATTCATTAGTGTCATAGCCTGAAAAATTTCACTGGAAGAAACAGCTAATTTTTTTTTTGTCTTGCTAAAATGCATAGTATCAGATGTTTAGGACATGTTCTGGTACGAAACAGATCATGTGCAGCCAATTCACATTGAGTAAAATGAGACAATATGCACCCATTCCAACTGGTGCTTATAACTAACCTACCATTCTGTTACAGGAATGCAGACCAGATGAAAGCATATTGGAAAATATCTAGCATTTCGGAGAAGTCTGAGAATGGAGGCAAGTTGAACTCTTTTGTTTTCTTGTACAGAAAAACTGTAACAGTAAAAAGGTAATCATTTTAGCCTCTACACACTCGTGCCTGTTTACACATCTTCTCATGCTGTATCCTGTTTACCAGTTCACTTTCTCAATTAATTTCCTCCCATTAACAGGGAGATGACAGAATATAAATTTATTGATTAGCTACGAAAGGAAAAACAGTGAAGCCTCCTGAAAGCAGTTAGTAGCTCTAAAATAGAGTTTAGACTGGGTGGGAAATGATTACATCAATGCTATTTGGAAATGAACAGTTATTCAAAGGAAAATATGTTTAATATCTGTGTCTTTCCACACACTGACAATTGAAATAAAGTAGAAAGAGGTAAGTGGAAGAACTGGGCAGGGGAGAACTAAAAAAGATCCAAAGTCCTGTGCTGAGATAGACTCAACAGTAGATGATTCTTGACCAACATTTTGAGTGTATATGTTTTTACCATACAAAACTCTAAGGAAAAAATGAATCTATGCACATCTGCTCAGAGTGATAATTTATATAGCATTTTGTTAAGGTATCAATAGTTGCCTTCTGCCCTGCTGCCTTTCCCTGACATCCAGCCTTTGCAGCCTCTGCAGGTGCAGTGTTTTTCTGAAACAGAAAAACAGGAGCCAAAGGGAGGCATCTCATCCTCAAAGCCTCTGTTGAGAAATGAACTTGTGGTGTACAGGAAAGGCCTTTAGCCCTCTTAAGAGTTTAGTGAAGGGCATTATGAAAGCACAGATTTGCTTCTAAATATGACTGGTTTCATACAGAAACCACAAGCCTGGAAAGGGAAGACCTCTTCTATACCTGGAAAGGCTGCAGAGTTGTGGTCATCATTCAAACAAAATCAGAGAGAATTTTTTCTGACAGGGGTTGTTGCTGTAGTCTGGTGTACTTTGTCCTTCACTGACCTCACAGTTCTTTGCCATCTGTCTTCCATTATGATTAGATAGGGATAGCCGTCTTTTTTTTTTCCATCTTCCAAAGTGTGGAGCTTCTTTTAAAAGAAAAAATCATACTAAAACACAAATGCAGGCAGGTGAAGACCTACTGTACACCTGCAGAGCAGCATAAAATGGGCTGCTAGTGATGCGGATTGCCTCGTGTGTGTGTTCAGTAGACTTGCACATATCCCACTGCTTCTGCTATATTCCCTTCTCTTCCCACTACCTTTTTTCCCCTTTTCTTTGAGTGTAAACCCATAGTGTTCAGAACTCAGTGTTTAAGAGGAAGTAATACTATGCCAGTCTTACACTTAAAGAAACAAAGGGAGAAGTTGCACAAACACCATTAATATTAGGACAAATATCTTGAAGTCTTCTTTATTCTGGTGTACCGGGTGGTAAAATGTTTTGGGTTGGTTTTTTTTTATGGTCCAACACATTATGTGAGCTGTCAATTGCAAACAGAGATAAAACACAGAACAAATTTTCAAAGCACTTGCAATATATGAGTTTCCAAAGAAGCTCCAGTTTACCCAAACTATGACACACCTGCTGAAGAAGTGAAATGGACCTTAAGCCACATTTATAAAGAACAAGCCATTGCTTAAAACAATTTCATTTGTTAATTCCCACTTTTAGCCCAGTAACATTTCAGTTACTAACTTTCCTCATCATTTAACAGTTCCTATTGTCTAGAAATAGCAAGTTGTTTTAAAGAAGTAAAAACACTTGACTTTCATTATTCCATTATTAATTATTTAAATCTCACTTTCCCCAGCATATTTTGCAAGAACAAGAAAAGACTTTTAAGAACTAGAAAAAGAGACTAGTAACAATGTTGTGGATTTTTTTAATGCCTTGCATTGACTACAGAAATGTACTTAAAGTGATTTTGATCTGTTACTGCTTTATAATCTCATCGAAGTGATGATACTTCACCACTGTCTCTGAAAAATCAACTGAAATTTGCGGGGAAAAATATTTAATCAGACCTTGCCTTTATTAGAAAAATAAGAATTTCTTTCCTCTGCGTACATTACTGCATAGCTGCATTTCTTCCAATGATTTTCTTCATGTACATTCATCCAGACAGATTGTGAAAACATTTAAATACTCTGATGTATGTTCAAATCCGCTAACGAAAAGTACTACATACAACATAAGTGGTATTAAGTACTTACATACCAGCAAGCATAAATGATGATTATAGAAACCAAACAGGTATTTCAAGTAGTAAGTGATTACCAGTCTGTCTGATATACACATTCTGGATAATCTTCCAGAAATGTGTATCGTTTCTCTTTAAATCATTCACTAGTCATTGTCTTACACAGAATATTGGAAAAAACAGACTTGTACTCCCATCTCTTTTGAAAATTTATGTAGGACTGCCTCTAGGAATAGATCTCAAAGGTCACCATGTTAGTTTCTCTTCTTACTACTAAAAATTCTGGGAGTTGATCTTGTTCTTGCAAAACAACCAGCTTGTCAGTTTTGTTATTTTTATAGGTTCTGGATCCCTCAGGGCAAAATTTGAACTTTCGGAAGGACCCAGTAAACCAGCAACACTTGCAGTGCAATTCATTAGTGAAGGAAGCACCCTTTCAGGAGTAGACGTAGAGCTCGTAGGCGCTGGCTATCGGCTTTCCCTCCTTAAGAAGAGATTTGCCACTGGTAAGACACTGACATGCTTATATACTCAAATTAGTAGTATATATTCCATAGTGTTAAATTATAAAATATGAAATTGTTAAGTAAGTGATGCATAAATAGTTACTTTTCATTAAAACATGGCTGAAAACTGTTTCACTTTTTCCATAGTTACTCAGACTGCTCCCAGGAAAATACTGACAAAATCTGTTTATCTGCTGACTGCAAAAAACCTACCTTTATTTTTCAGGACGGTATATGGCAGACTGCTGATGAACCTGTGAAAGTCTTTGGATCAAAGGAATGCAAGAAGCTCACTCTGCCCTTTCTACTTTTCAAACACTATTTTAACATGCATTAATTTTTTCAAAATGTTGACCTACTTTGAGGTTGAACTACAAAACAGAAAATGCACTTTTGAAAGTCATTTTGCAAACTTTTTATTACTTTATAATAGCACTGAAGTTAACTTCAACACTGTCTGTAAATGATCAATTGCAATATTGGGGAAAATTTGTTGAAATTTTAGTAAATTTATATAGATGAAGTCAAAATAGTAATCTGTAGTTGTAATGAAAGTATGAAATTGTATGTTATACTGTAAACATTAAACCTAAAAATGTAGGAGAGCGAGTAAGAAATATTTGAGCTTTCCATAAGTAATATTCATTTTTCAGATTCTTTAATTGCCAATTTTTAAAGAAAGCAGAGGCAAAGTCTCATGTAGTTCTTCTATCCACTCATGCCACAAAACCAGCTGAGTTAGAGATGTATAAAAGAAATTTAACTTGATGCCCATGTATCATATAAAACAACTTACATGTTAATAATATATAGGGGTTTTTTCCTAAGTGCAATCTGTTACAAAATTGCAAAAGACAGCAGAGATTTACTTCTGCGGTTAGTAAATTTTATGGGCGTTGTGATTGTTTGAATTAATGCTGTAGACTTAATTTATTTTTATATGAATTGCATAACATTTGTGCCTTTAAAAAAAGCCTGTGCCTATCCAATTTGTTATTCACGTGCCTCACTTCCTTTTTCAAAGTTTAGCTCTTCATCAAGAAAGCACGGTGTTTGTATAATACACACAACTTTATAAAGATTTCTTTGACTGGGATTTATTTAGAAGGCAGATTTGCAAAACCTGGAGATTGTTTTGAAAGAGGTTTAAAATACTAGATTACTTCTTTATGGGGTAATTGCAATAAATGCGGCTGTAGTACAGGGAGATGCATCATGCAGGACTTTTAAACTTTGAGAGAGTAACTTCAGTGTCACCACAGATAAGAATCCTGAAAAATCACTGAAGATGGTAAAACCAAACTTTTGAAAGCAAATAGTATTTCCCTTCACTTTGACTGCAAGTCTTTGGACTTTGAGTGGTTTTGGGGTTGTGTGATGTGAATGTAAACATAGTACTTTGGGATGAATAGCATTTTAGAAGGGTATTTTATGGCAACAGGATGACAAGTACTGCCACATCTATTATTCTAAATTTTTATATATATTTCAATATTTGCATTGTCATCTAATCTGCTTGCCACAGCCTAAGCACAAGGAAGTGACACATTAGTAACGTTTTTTAAAGCAAGTCACTAATTTAGAAAAATCTTCTATGTGTTTGTATTATCAAGCCGAAATCAAAAGTATTGGGGCAAAATAATTTAATAAACTGCACGTGGGATTTCATATGACCATTTTGAATACCAGTATCTATTTCAAATTTTCTATTAAAACAATAAAACGCGCTTGAACTAATTCATGCCAAACCAGTAATGGATTGGACTGCTGAAGCTTTATAAGAAATTAAGCTTTGTAGAGGCTACATAAATTCTAAAGTATACACACACTTTGGCAGATGAGAGTTCCATTGTTAGCACTAAGCACATACTGTACTGTAGTTGGATTGGAAGAGTATATTTGGCTTGTAATTTGCTAATCTTATTGAATGGTAAATTTCTAACTCATAAAATGGTACAGTCTTTTTACTGGAATCTTAATTGTAATCTGCTTTGCAATCAAACTGTGTTTAACACAACAATATTTTATTAATGAAAACCCAAAACTGTATTGGTCTTTTGAATGAAGTATTACTTTCATTTCTAAGATAAATGAAGTAGTTATGTTTCAGCACTTTTAAACTAGCCCTCATTCAGGTGATTATACATACATTTGCATTCAGTGCAGGTTACAATTTTGAAGCCATACTATAGACTTTTTGTAAAGAAATTAAAAAACAATGTAAAAAGTACATGTAGCTATCGGATTAAAAAAAACATATGTAGCAAGCTGGTTCTTGCTTGTGTATACAGCAATATCCACTGTAGCTGCCACCTAAGAAAATTAATTTGTAAACACAACTCTAAAGGATCTGAATTTTTATGAATTGTTACTACGTCAGACTGTAAATTAGAGCATACAAGTTTATCTTACAAATATTGTAAATACTTCTGATTTTTCACAAAATGTAAATTTTAAAAAATTTGCACCCATAATAAACATGTAATATATAATTTAAATACTGATTTATATTGCCTATACTTTTGCAGTTAGTCCCGCAAAGCTTCTAAGCAGTAAGATAATAGAACAAAACTATGCCTGTATTGAACACTTTAAAGTGTTAATTGATTTTTTTAAGTGATAAGGGGCAGACATAATATATGAGCTCCTTTATATATTTAAAAAACACCACAGAGAAGGTGGATGGAAAGACGACTTCTGCAACGAGTTGCATCCTTACTAAACTGGAATGCCTGAGTTGTCTACAATGGCTTAATGCCTTTACTAAATTGATATGCTTCACTAATAACTTAGATTAGGCAAAACTGCAGATATGTTTATCAGAAAAATCTTGACTTTGTAGACACAAGCTGCTCTCTGTAAATAGTGCTATCAAATGCTGTACATTCCCTAAGTTCCTTAATAAGCTGTTTTGATGAGTGCACGGGAAAAAAAGTCAGTGGCAAGATTAAAGTAATTCTGTCTGATTCTTATGTTCCACCAGTCAAAAAAAAGTAGACAATTTAAGTAGTACTTCAGCAGTCTGAGAATAGTCCTTCTAAGCTGCAAGCAGAGAAACAAAACAAAAGTTCAAACTGAACAAATGTGTTTGAATGTTTCTTTCCTACTAATCCCACAGCCTGTGTAAGTTCAGTAAGTAATGACTTATTAAACTGACTTTTTCAGCTGGCTGGATATCATTGCAGTAAGTACCATTCTTGTCATGCTGGAAAGCAATAGTCCAAGGGCTTGATTCTTATCTTCTGTTGGAATGCAGGAGTGAAGAACACAAATGTCTGATGGTCGACTGAATGATCCATCTAGCCCAGCAGTCTGTCTTCAGCAATGGCCAAAGAACAGACTATGGCATGGAGAGCTCACAGGCTATTTCCTTTCTGCTCCCACAGCATCCTTAGTTATTGTTAGGGATGTAAAAGGGTACAATGCTGCTCAGTTCTTCTAGTATTCATTGAACTTAAAGTGTCAAAGGTCACTGCTCTGACACTTCTGTTAACATTTGACTTTTGTTATTGTAAGCCAGTGCCGACGTACTACTCACAACTACTATAAACTGGATTTTTACTGCTCAAGCAGGTTTGTGATTATCTAAGTACATGATCAGGTAGTTTTTCAGGGATAATTGACTACCACTACCACTGCCAAATAATATATATGTAGGGTATTTGGAAGAGCTAAGATATTTGATTATCAACTGGAACAGCGTGGGAGTTATGAGTGTGGTGGGTTTTGCTATCTAACTAGAAAGGAAGGTCTTGCATCATGCCAAAAAGGATTACATTTCAAGTCTTGTGTGTTTGAGAAGCTTAAGATAGGCATCTTAATATCTGTGTACCTTTTGTTTTCTTGGAATTGCTATATAATTGGTTTCCATTTCAGTTGTCATGAAAGGGCAATTTTACCTTAGAGCATGCAAGAAAAAACTCAGGAATTCCTCCAAGGATAGACTAAGCTAAAAACAGTTCAAGGTACTAAAGCAGCAAATAACATATTTACTGTGTGGTGCCCTTGATTGGACTGATTACCAGGCCTCTTAATTGCAAACTTAATAAGCAGAGCTGAAGATAAACTTTATTACACTACGGAGTATTCCTTCTCAACTCAGTTTGACCTCCATGTTTACTGACATGTTCATTTTTAAATAACCAATAAAAAGCATACAGTCTTTAAAGAATAAAATAATCTTAAAAACACAAGAGGCCTCTTCTGGATTACTTATTAAACATTTAATACTCAAATTCTGCATTTTCTGTAGCTGCTTTCACTTCCTTTGGAATCCATTCTTTCTGGTTTTAAATCTGGGATGGCTATTTTAATTATTATAAGCTAAGATATGATTTTGTTTGCCATTGTCCCAGTTGTATTTCTTTTAAAAAGCCTTGTTCTGTAACTTAGCTTTTTTTTTCCATTATTAAAGCTTAGCTGTTTATTTTTTTAAAAATAGATTAGTAATCACAAGCTATAAATCATGCCAACTTCACCACTCTGATTAAGATTCAGCTTTTCCTCTTGGCATCACCCAATCTGCCTTCTTGAAGTTGTCATTTCCTAAGTCATGTTTTCTGCTCTAGAAGGTTAGCAGTGGTAACGTGTTCAGGGATGACTCAATTCTTTCTTCATCATGGTTAAATGAAGTAGGCCATTTTTACAATTGCTGATTCTCCCCTCCAGATGTTCCCTCCTGCTTTGTAATTAGATAAACTCCTTATATAATATCCACAGCCTTGCCTTCCACTTCCCAATACTGTCATTGGTAGGTTATATGAATAGTCATCACTGATACTGAAATATTAACGCTGTCCCAGTGTTAGTACTGCTAAGACATTGCATCCAGGCAAGATGCACCAATACAACTCAGGAAGGGGAATAAAAATAAATAAATAAATAAAAACCCTGAACCAAAACACAAGTCTTACAGAACTGTGGATTTTGACAGAGAACCAAAGTCCTAACAGACACAACTTTCAGCCCCTGACAAAGCACCTGACCTCATTCTTGAATGCAAGTTTCTCCTCCAGGTCAGAATCCCTCAGCCTCTGTGTACAAGTCCCTTCTTGCTTCTGAGCACTTCCCAGATTGACAACACACACCAAGTACTTGAGTACGTGAGCATAGGAGGAGTGTCGCAGTCTGTGATCTGCTGTTCTCCGCAGCTGACATCTCTCCGAAGTCTCACCAGTCTATTCCCAGGTACAGGCCAAATGTTGCTGCATCT